ATCAGCCTTCCGGCTCCTCTGATGCTGCTTGGCCTGCTGTGTTCATCCAGCTCTACACCTTGTTATCTCAGATTCTCCAGCATCTGCAGTTCCTACTATCTCTGAAACAATTTGTTCAACCTGGAGGTTTCCACTTAATTTCTTTCAAGTTTCTTCAAACTTTCAGCATTAACCAACAGGGAATCATAGAATCCCCGCAGTGCGGAAAGTGGATAACCGGCCCATCGAGTCTACACCGATCCTTCCGAGGGTATCCTACCCAGACCGACCTTCCTACTCTATCCCTGTAACTCTGCATTTACCAGGGCGAATCCACCTAACCTGCACATCTTTGGACTGTGGGAGGAAACCGGAGCACCCGGAGGAAACCCACGCAGACACGGGGAGAATGTGCAAAATCCATACAGACAGTCGCCCGAGGGTGGAATTGAAACCAGATCCATGGCGCGGGAGGTAGCAGTTCTGAAACATTGAGAACTGTTTTCACATCATTCTTCTGCATTCTCTCCGTTAACTTTAGAAAGTACTTTTCCTGCCGCTTTCCTGTTTTGACAAGTTCACTCCGATTTCAATGAGCAGGCGGGTGGATCGGAAATGTCCCTGGCTGAGCAGCAGTCTATTATTCTGGGAATGTGACATCGACTCCCACCAGGACAGTGGGTGAACTTTAAATTTAAAAAAAAACGTCTGGATTTACTAAAATCTCTCGCGGGACTTGAGCGTCGCTGACTGCCCAGCATTTATTGCTCGTCTCTAATTGCCCCTAAGGAAGTGGTGGGAAGCTGCCTGGAGGCTCGGCCACTTTCATATTAATTGTAAAAACTCACCTGAGTCACTAACGTCCTTTCGTGCAGCTTTCTCTCTCTCTCGTCCGTTTGTTCTTGGTGTTCATTTGGTTTCCGATTCTCTAACAATGTCCGGATTCGTACTGATAACGGAGTTAAAACGATTTGAAAAATTGTTGACACGTGCTGTCCTATCGGAAGGAGCCGCAATGTAATCCTGGCCGTTCCTAAACAACCGCGAAAACAAAACCCACCCATGGAGCTTCCTGGCTTTCTAAACGCTGTATCTCAGCCCTTTTCTAAACGCTCTCAGCCCTTTTCTGAAGGCTCTCTCTCAGCCCTTTCTGTTGAGTTGACGTTAGCCCATGCATGCGACTGATCAGCGCAGTAATGCCGCAACTTGTTCAGGGGCTGAAGTTAAAACATTTGCTCTCAATTTTAAAAAAGATTTGCTGCTTCCCTATTCCTAACTTTCGAATTCAACTTTAGAAACAAAAACCAGGTTGTTCCGAACCCAAAGCTGCCGAGACCTGGTCTAAGGTTTCCCGTTAGAGAGCATTACCTGGCTGGAGCCTTTCCTCTTCCTTCGGGAATCCGCTCTGGTCAAGAACATCTGGATTCGATTCGTCCGTTGCCCACTCTGGAAAGATTGAGGGTTAGAGTCACCTCCTCACCTTACTGTCCCATTTCTCTAAACCTGTTTTTTAAAAAAAAACAAACCTCAGCCCATGGGTCTGAAACAGGAAACATTTTTTTACATGAGTTTGAAACCAGCCTGTTCAGAGATGTGGATGCACACCATCTAGAACAGATGGGAATAAACCCAGGTTTCCTGGCTCAGAGGAAGGGACACTGCCACAAGAGCCCATCAGGGACGATTTTTATTCGAGGTTTGTGAACTCTAGTTCTACGACCTCGAATCCGATTTCGAGAGATCGATTCTTCGAGCGTGAGCCCGGAGTCCCTGCAACTTCACGCACTTGAACGGAAAGCGCTCCAGATTCTTGCAATGAGACAGGATTGAAGGGACCGAGTGAGGTCCTGTTGGCAATTCTGTGGATTCAATGCATATTACGACCTAAACTGCCTCGAATGAAGAGATCCAGTTAAAAATGTTTTAGATACTTACAGGAGACTGCTCAGCCTCGGGTTGTTCCCGGAACAGGAGCTGCTCCGAGTTCTCCTCCGCGCTCAGTTTTTATTCTTTGGATCTGGTGACAATTGGTTTATAAATCAGAACCGACCGACAATCCGAACCGGAATTCCGTTACCTGTTGGGATTGATAAAGAGTTCTGGTAACAAACAGTCATCCTGCTGTTGCTAATCTGCAGCTCACAGCTCGCCCTGAGCTGGCATTTTATACTCAGCGTTTTCACCACATGCTTTCCGCTGCGCAACAACTCAAATAAATTTACTATTCAATTCTCCCATTCAATGGCGATATGTTAACCCCTTTTTGATTAAATTCTCAAATTGTGCACCCGTTCATTCATTCACGCTTACACACGCAGGCGCGCAAGCACAAATCCAAACTCTCATTGGGGTAAGGTCAGAAATCGCATGACATCAGGTTATAGTCCAACAGGTTTATTTGAAATCACAAGCTTTCGGAGCCTTAGTTCTCCTTCAGGAGTGAGTGAGGGAGGTAGTATCAGGCACAGAATTTATAAGTAAAAGATCAAAGGTTCACACCATTGATCAGGATGTACCAAACAAACCTAAGATGCTGTTAAATCTTTAATCAGTTAGAAGCTTTTAATTGATTAAAATGTGTATGTATATTTCCGAATTCCTTTCAAGTCACAGTCCTGAGAGAACTAAAGGTTTTATCAGTGCAAAGAAAAGGTGACATTTTAGGTTAGACAATGTATGTTAGTGTGTTGTTTAGAATCTGTTTCAGTTTGGAGTCAGATTGATTTTATTTCTAAAGTAGGAATTTATAAAATGCCACATTGACCGACTGTCTATAAATTGTGTGCTTTTTGAACAAAATAAAATGTATCTGCAAATACAAATTCACCCCATAGATTCGAGACACCATGGCATGGTACACTGGCGAAACCACGCAGACGCTATGACAACAGATGAATGGACATTGCGCAACAATCACCAAACAAGAATGCTCCCTCCCAGCGGGGGAACACTTCAAAGATCAAGGACATTCGGCATCCAATCTTCAGATAAATGTTCACCAAGGGGGACTTCACGAAACACAACAATGCAAAGTTGCTGAGCAGAGGCTGATGGCCACGTTTGGTGCCCATGAGGATGGCCTCAACTGGGATCTTGGGTTCATGTCGCACCGTAGGTGACCGCACCACACTATACACACAAACTCACACACACGCACACACAGACACTCTCTCTCACACATACACACGGAGACACACACACACTCTCTCTTTCACACACACACGAACACTCTCTCTCACACACACTCTCACACACAAACACACACGCACTCTCTCTAACACACACTGTCTCTCTCACACACAAACACACACACAAACACTCTCACACACACACAAACTCACACACACACATACACTCTCTTACACACACATACACACACTTGCTCACGCACACACACATGCACACTCTCTCTCTCTCACACACACACACACACGTGAACACTCACACACACATACACTCACACATACACACTCTCTCACACACACACATGCACACTCTCTCTCACACACACATGAACACTCACGCACACACACGAACACTCTCTCTCACACACACACACATGAACACTCTCTCTCTCACACACTCTCTCTCACACACAGTCTCACACACAAACACAAACACACACACTCTCTGTCACACACCCTCATACACACACTCACTCTCTCATGCACACACACACACTCACACACA